CGGTAGGATGTTCAGCCACGATATGCAGGATTCTTTCTGAGTACTTTGGTGTTCTTACTGCACATGCTTTGTTAACAGCAGAGTCTCCCACAATCAGAGTTTGAGGCCAGTCGCATCACAAATCTCAGGGCGCTGGGTTCTGTCTGTTACTCGTCCTCCTATTTCCCCAGGAAATGATTTACTCTTAGGCTTTGCACCAAGAGCGTTCCAGGGAGGACTCAAACTTATAGATTTATTACCCAGTACACAGGCCTCCTGCTTCTTGGTAGTCTTGTTGGTGCTAATTAGCTGTGTGTTAGCATGCTCTTGTCCACTGTATTGGGTCCACCGTAAAGTGGTGTCATTCCCACAGTAGTCCATTCACTTCCACATTCACTTCTAACCTGTGGATCTTGGTTTCCAGGACAGTAATTTTCTGTAGAAGTTTGTAGAAGTCGTCCGTGGAGAAGGGGGGCATCTTGTTGCTAATTAGCTTTAGCTATAACTCCAGTCACTGCAGTACAGGCTAGTGCTATTGATAGGCCGCACTCGCGTAGCACTAAGATCATAAAAGGTTTTAAAGTATGGCAAGAGCCAACTTTATCTGACAGTCCCAGTGATTTAAAAGTATCCAAGAGCTGCTGATTTCTAGCAGGGGAAAAAAAAAAAGCGTTTAAGCCAAAGAATGCAAGGAGAGGCAAGAGCAAGCAGCAAAGCGTCTGCACTGTAAGAAAGCAGGAAACAAGCAGACTGCTTGCAAAAATGTATTAAGTCTCCAATTTCTAATTGGAGGGTTGTTTTTTATTGACATACTAGAAACCGGTGAGTGAATGTTGATAGTGAAAGGGTGAAACCGAGTGTCTGAGATGTCATAATTGAGCTACTAATCAAACAATAGTCTAGGTGTGAATATGAGCTGTGGACTGGTGAAAAAGAGGTACAATTCTCTGAGAGTGGGGCGATGAGAATGCAAAGGCTTTCTGTCGATTCCCACATACGAGGATTGCCTGCCGAGTCTGTCAACGGCTGTATTGCATACCAGGTTGAAGTCCTCTCTTTTTTATAAAAGCTGTGTCTGAGTGAGCAGAGAATGAGGTGAAGCATGCATGAAAAAGGAGGCGTCGTCAACATTCGGGCCTTAGATATTATAAATCAGGTTTTTGAATGGAAATTTATCTACATAAATCGACCTTTTGGATCTATAACGGCAACATTAACAGAAGAAAGAAGTAGACTTTTAACAAGTTATTTCCGTTTGCAATGTTCAAACTTAGCCACAGTGGGTCTTGGCCTATGGTTGTCCGACCACCATCCCCCAAATGGTGCACCCGTTCTTCACGGTGTCGGCCGATAGCTTCAGCTCCTTTAAGGATGACTTTTTTTAGTCTTCTCAGGGCCTTTGTCCGCCTTCTCAGGGCCTTTGTCCGCCTGCTCCGGGATGCCCAAGATGACCAGGTTGTCCCCATAGACTGCATATAAGAAATGGACGTAATCATCGAGACGTCACCCGTTGGTTTGTGGACTGCCATTTTGAAGCCTCGAGTTGGCCAACCATGAAGTGACCGGAAGTGACGATACGGTGGAGCTAACGGGCGTGTGCGGAGCTAGCTAGCTTGCTTAGCTAGGTGCAACTGTAATTCACGTTAATTCTCATTTTAACAGGGCTGATAACTTTGTCTAGAGAACAGTCTTAAAACTAAATGTACTCACCAGAGAAAGTGAACAGCCAACTCCTAATAAGCTTTTTCAACGGCGCTGGTTAAATTTACACAGCTACAAGTCGGCTCTAGCCTGATTGACAGGTTGCCATGGTAACGACTTGTCAATCATAGATAATCATACTCTGCTTTGTGGTCTATTTTAAAATAAATGGGGCCATAATTTACTAAATGAACATCATTTTGTGTTGAAGACTTGAAACTAGCGACTGAGACAATAAACTCATCAGGAAGTGTTTACTGGTGTAATTATTCAGCTGAGAAGTAGGGTTTTCCCATTATTTCTAATGGAGCCGGACTTCTTTTTGCAACCAGATGAGTCGCCCCCTGCTGGATTTTCAATGGAATGCATGTTTCGAGGACTTCTGCATCAAATTCATATTGTAGACCAGAAGCTTCCTGCTTGTTGTCCCTCATGCTGCACGCCTGGAGATCGTTGATCATTTCTCTGTTTTAATTTTCTTCTGAGCCAAAAACCTCGGTATTGTTGCGTTTATTTCTGCGGTGTGATAGGCTGTTAGATCTATACAAATAGAACATGTCTTCAAGCTTGACCTAAAGCATTACCACCGTTGCACAATTTTTTTCTATGTATATTACTGCCATCACTTATATACTAGGCCCAACCAATTTATCGTTTTGCAGATATTACTAATGTTAGATATTAGAGAACTTGAAGCAGCTAGCCGTGTAGATTCTTGTTCGGCTTACATTTATTCACAAGTCCGCCTGGTTAATCATTTCTGACACACGAGTAGAGACAAGCAGCCCGCAGAACGTCAAACACTATAGTTTAATCTCTCATTAGCTTGTGGCTAATTTAGCATCAGGCAGCGGTAGCTGCTATACGTTATATTAATAATACAGTTTTCCCACATAATGACAGTGTAACTGTGGCGTCCTAAAAACCAGCTGTATTCTAACATAAACTTAGCTCTCCTTATTAGCAAGGCTCCTTACACGCTTGCTAATAACTTTTAATAGCTGGGTCTCCAACGTTGAGAGCGTTGTGTTGGACAGATTTGTGCAGCTGTGTTAACGAGGGAGAGAAAGCGAGAGAGAAGGGTGAGAGAGAGAGAGGGACGAGTGAGAGGGGCGAGTGAGAGGATATGCTGTGCCAATAAGCGCTGCCTGCAGCTCAAATATGATTTTAATAGGCCTAGAAAAAAACGACGATCAATCTGTGGCGGTTAGCATTGATATTGTGGTGGGCCGCCACAAATAAATGAACGAATGGGAAACAAATATTTAGAAGAATGAACTAGGGAGAAATGAGAGGTAATGAAATAGGGAGAATGAGAGGACCGTTCACTAGAAGTGCCGCACTGTTTCAGAATAAATCTACAATCACGTCTGCCAGAGTACGTTAGCCTCCACCACTCACTTACTGTGACATGAAACATCTGCTGTGCCTGGGAGAGTGCAGTGAAAAACGTGAGGGTTAGCAAGTCTGGTGTGAATGTTT